ATATATTCTAAATACTATAATAATGTGGAGTTCTATTTGTGAATTCTAAATATCTATATAACTGAAAATGCTAAATTACAGAATCTTAGGCAAAGATGCCATATGCTGGTCTTGCCAATTAATTGCAATTTTGACTGAAGTAGCTCGTGTGGGGGGGGGGGGGGGTTGCTTCCCCAAACTCTATCCAGTAGTAAAAGACAAATACAAATAACAACCCTCCTTTGTTGTTGTAAAAGCAAAAGTTGCAGCATTTTAAAAGCACAGATGAGCCATACTTCTAGAGAAAAGAATGTAGGAATTTTAAAAAGGAAGCCAAACTAAGTAACTGAAATACCATCTTCAGATTGTGCTTTTGAAGTTTAAATATAATGTGACATACTGTTGCTGACTGTCCCTTAATGTTCACAGTAGGCTCATGTATAAGCGGTTTGTCCAGTCCCTCCAATATACGCCCCTGCATTTTCTAACTGCTAATGCGGTAAAGGCTCACAGAGTCACATTGTGAATTCATTTACATTTGACTCAAATATTTCTCTACCTTAGTGTCAGACTCTGTATACTTACTTTGTTATAAGCTTTTTTTGATGTTCTATAGCACCAACCAATATTTTGCATAAATACATATTTAAAAAACAAACTTGTTTACCACCTGTCACCTCTCTTTACACAAGGACCATCATAGGCTGCCTTAGACTGATGACTATACAAAAGTCTGTGTGTCTTTCTATCTTTCAAGTAATCGTGTGACTGCTGTGAGGCGATATGAGAAACACCTGTGAAACATTACATCAAGGTTACCATGGCTAATTATCGCAGACTCAACAAACAGCTGTTTTACAATCTGCCTATATGTGTGGAGGGATGTGGTCAGTTCATCAGTGGCCATTTAAAGGCGTCATTTAAGATATTATATGGATATTTCCTGGATTTACTCTGTGTGCTCCACGAGTTATGCTGTTTCATGCTTTACCTTTCAGGGGTTGATTTCCCGAAAGCTTCGTAACGCTAGGTAGTTTGTTATCTAGTGCTTAACATTGATGATTAATTAGCACATGTTACCGATACCCTTACCCCAAAACTAGTTAGTTATCCCGCTTGTAGATTTACGAGTGCTCCGACCCACAGGTTATTTTCTACCTCGTTCTTTATTTGAACTTTTGCCTGCTGTCCTGTCACAGAGACACAGAGATCGGCCAAAATAGTGGACAAAAACATTGGTGCTCTTTTTTGGACAACGTAACAATGCCGATGATGTAATAAGAGTTTAGTATTGCAATATAAAACTATAATGTAGAGTATAAAATAGTGCAAATTGGGCTCGTTTATGTAACACCTGTATGCCATTTGAGTAGGCCTACATAACAGGGTTGTGCACCATTCAGAAATGAGACTTTGAATATAAGGAGGTAGAATTAAAATGGAATACATAGTGTAAGGGTGGCTTTTACAATATACCTTAATATTTAAATATGAATCATCCAGTATGTTAACATGAATCCCGCCTATCCCCCCCACCACGTGATCTTAAATATTTACGGCAGCAAAATTACCCAAAGGCCATGCCCCCCCCCCATCCGAGCACCTGCCTGACAATCTGTGCATGTCACTGTTATTCATAATGAATGCCACACTTGAAGGGTCGCCTATAGAAAAAATAATTTAATAGTGATTTTGTGTACCATGCTGAAAGAGCACATACAGTCATAACACTAACCCTATCACAACCCTATCTGTATGACACAAGAAAATCTACTGCAGACTCCTCAAAAATGGTAACACACATACTGTAAACAGTTAGATATGCAAAAACAGTAAATATATGCACATGGAAAAGAACTTACAGGGCTGACATAAACCAAATGCATATTGTTAGAATAGGCAAAAACAATTACACAAGTATTATCTTACATTCATGCAAATATAAAGTTCACTCACTGGTACATATATATAAGCTCAATATATGTATCTACCATACTGGACGTAAAACTGTTATGTAATTATTTAGGTATTCCTCGATTAAATGTCATTCATGTGTTGTATGATTGCATTAATTGAAATTAATTAAATTCTTCTGTCATTCCAATTCAACATCTCACTGGGTGTGGTCAAGTCAGTCCAAATCCAATTCATAAATTCTGAACAAACCTGGTAAGCTACATAATGAGCTGACCAATCAAACCTGGTAAGCTACATAATGAGCTGACCAATCAAACCTGGTAAGCTACATAATGAGCTGACCAATCAAACCTGGTAAGCTACATAATGAGCTGACCAATCAAATCTGGTAAGCTACATAGTGAGCTGACCAATCAAACCTGGTAAGCTACATAATGAGCTGAGCAATCAAACCTGCTATGTGTTCAGTCACATCTTTTGAATTGGGAAGGTGAATCAGCCCTCACCACCAGCAATGGCAGGAAATTGTGCAAGTCAAGAGAAGACAGCGTTTGACACGGCAGCATCCAGGAAGTCAAGTTGCTTTTGCAGGTGATCATGAACCCCTTGGTGTATCTCAGTAATGAACAATTCATAGAGAAATACAGGCTGGCCTGGGGTGAAATAATGAGCCCCCTTGTTCTGGTGCAGGATAAATTGAAAAGAGGAACACACCAGAATTTTGCCCTCAGTGCACCGTGCAGCTTCCGACAGCTCTCTGCTTCTACGCCCCCTGGTGGATTCCTGCAGACCTACAGGTGCACATGGCCTCAGCAAGGCTGCTGTGTCCCGCATCTGTGCATTGATCACATTTCTGTTGCACTCTGCACACAACTACATACAATGTCCAGCAGGAGGGGATGCCGTGCATGATGCTAAAACTGGCTTTGATGCCACTGCAGGCACACGTGGCCTTGTAGGTGCAGTGGATGGAACCCTTAACCCTATTCATATTCACACCTGCACCTGCTGAAAAGGGTTCTGGGCACTAGGTCTAAATGTCCAGGTGATATGTAACCATGAAGGACATCTTGCAGACATTTTTGGAGTGTCTCAGATGGCAAAGGATGGTATGTCAGCTGGTGGCTGGTTATTGGGAGACAGCAGGTATATCTCAGCTAATAACTGCTGATTCCAGTGTTGAATCCCCAAACTGTGGCTGAAGAGAGGTATCACACCGCACTCCAAAGAACATACACCGCTGTAAGAGGGCTTTAGGCATGTGGAAGATGTGATTCCGTTGCCTACACCAGACTTTGGGGGCTCTCCCAAGATTTCCCCCTGAATGTTACTGTGCTGTTCTTCTTATGTGTACTATGCTGCACAACATTGCAGTAATTATTTTATTAAAATATATCTTTGACCACCTCCCCAATAAGTTCTTTTGAGAAGTATCCTCCACCATTGTGTTTTGTTTACAAGCCCATTTTTATTTTCAACAGGTTAAATTATTTTGTCCTTAATTTTGGTTCCTTTGATGTATTAATTTTATAATTAGTTTATATTTTTATTTACATTTGACAATCATCAGATTTTACCATTGAAATACGTAGGATGGATGTGCCTCTTATCGACAGTCTGTGATTTTCTTACACGGAGGCTGGGGAGAAGCCAACAATGTAGTAGTTAAAGTTTGTTTGTAAGTTCTGGAATAACTAAGAGTTTTGGGAAATGCACGTAGGCCTCACTCGTTCTTTAATTGCATTGTTCGTTATCTTGTTTGTTACTCGCTAAAATTAATCACTTTTGGGAAAGCCACCCCAGAAGATAGACAGATTATTTATACATTATAAGCAGACCTAAAAACTTTAAAGAAAGTGGATGTGAGCTCTAGTGATGTTAAATTCTCTTGCATATTTCTTGCCTTGACATTGTTCACAATCAGGCCCTGATCTGATACAATAAGCTGAGATGCGGCCGGTGATTCCCACATAATAGCATCTTTATTTACATTTCTTGCTGCTGTTGCATACTGCTGTCACTTCTGGGGTTTTAGATTGTGTGTCTTCATGCTCTTTTGCTGCCTGTGGTTTTCATTCTCCAGTTACTCGTTTTTTGTTTTTTTTGTTCACTGCAGTAACCAGGTTGTCCATATTTCATGCCAAATGTGAAACAAGGATATTTTGCAGGTGGGATGAAGATATCTGGAATTAATTGTTTTGAGTATATAGAAAGTTTACTGTGTGTTTGAGAGAGCAGGGTACCCTCATGCATTGGTCTTCCTCTCTCAGTTCCTGCTATGTTAGTGTGTTAGAGAGAGTAACGCAGTAATTTTGAGTGTGACTCAGACCTTCTGCTTGTCTCACCTTAAGAGTACTAAAAAAAATTACCCCCATCCACTCACCAGTTCTCTTGTCCTGTGCATCTGTTTTCCATCAGAGAGTGGCATGTTTCACACCGGCATGCATGTGTTTCTGCAGAAATGCCCAGGTATGCACAGGATACGTTTGCTTTCTGATTGGTCTGGGATTGACTTGGGAGATTTAATTATGTAAGAACACTATTAAACTGGGTGAAGCATGGCTAAATATAGAGAAGTGAATGGAGCTATGTGAAGTGAATGGGGAAATACGGCAGGATATTTATATCACCGGAATCAGGGCGAATGGCTCAGCCAGGGGAAACATCACCCATTTTAAAAGTCATTCATAAAATCCAAACAGGATTTGGGTCTTACCTAGTCAGACGCTCACTTTAAACCTTCATTAGATCCTTAAATATGTACAGAATTAAATATATACAGTGTAAGCATTACCAGCAAATAAATCTAAGCAATGGGAGAAATTTGATTTTTTTTTGTTTTGTGTCTGTTTGAAATTTATTGCTTATGTCATAGTTAAAATGTGTTTGTGACACACGGAAAAGGCAAGATATCAAATCAATATAACAAAGACTAAGGAAAAAAAAGCTGTCATGATATATACATTTGAGAAATTTTATGAAATATAAAAAAAATACTTCATCAGACAAGTGAAATTAAAATTATTTTATTGTTACTGTTTCCATTATAATAATAATTATCATTATTAATATTAATATAATAATAATAATAATAAATCCCCAGGAAGAAATAAAATGATAATAATTTATTTGAAACTGGATTCAAAATAATTTATAGGCTTAATGCAAAACTACCCATGGTACAAAAACTCATTTTTATTGCAAATGATGATTATGATGATTTATTATTTCTAGGTATTCTGGGTCTGTCTGTGAATTGCCTTTAAGCTCAAAATGCTCATTTTTAGTCCAATCCAACACGACACCTCGTGGTGCAGCATAGACTAAACTCCGTGACAATAATTCTATTTCTTCCTGGTGATTCTGACTTCTGTCTTCCTTCCCCTGATATTTCGAATGAGTATGGCAGTCATGATTATACCAATCTGTGGCAGCGGGGCTGTATGTGGGGTCCTGTTTTATATTCTCTGTCTTCCTCTCAGTCAAAGGACAACAGTTCTTTTGGGCAGACATGCCATGTTTCACATCCACTGGGCCGCCGTCTTGGGGCCGATCCTCTCTGTGTTTCTTCTTTGACCTTTGTTTTCGATGCACAATCAAAAAAACAATCCCACTGGCAGAAAAAACGACTATAAGAAGAAAAATCAAAAATATTACGATAAAGACTGAAAATGGGACAGAGACAGTGAAATGGTGGTAGAAACCTGTACTTTTAATGGTTGTGGAGGGGAAAGGCACACCGTGAGCAAACGTACCAGTTGGCATTGGTAAGAATGTCACTAGGTCAGGACACATGACTTCCTGACTCACAATCTCCAGCTTCGTTTTAGCTATTTTATTTGGAGTCTGACACAAAATACTACCCGACACACTATACTTTTGTAGGGTCTCAACCCATTGCTTAAAATCAACCAGATCACAAGTGCAGTCCCATGGGTTGTCATCCAAAAAAATCTGCCTCAGAGCTATCAACTGATCCAATACATTCATCACAGGCAGGTGCTTAAATGCATTATTCATTAGGTTTACTTTAATTAGTGGCAGATGGTGAAATATATAGGGTGGAAGTTTATGAAGAAGATTGCCATTTAAAGACAGGATTTTCAAATTAGGCAAGGCACTAAATGAACCTGGATGGATGCCTTCAATTACATTGTACTCTAAATACAACTGCTCAAGGCTGTTAAGTCCGAAAAACATACCTGAGAATAACTGATCAATTCGGTTTCCATTGAGATTGAGCTTTTGTAGTAGCCCTAAACAGAGAAAACTTTGATTTTCAATATAATCAATTTTGTTGTTTGCCAAATTCAGCAATACCAAACTTTCATATGCAACAAAATCATCCCGTAAAAGTCTCTGAATCATATTTCCCGTCAAGACAAGATCTGTGGGACTTTGATGCAGAAATCCAAGCTCAGACATTCTTTTAATACCTTTGTCCTCGCAATGGATTAAAAAACCAGCAGTTGAGCTGATTAAACAAGAACAGAGTTCAACACAAGCGACGTCAGATGTTAGTACGGGTGTTGGTGTCGTGAATATTGCATCGTCACTTGCAATAACCAACTTTAGGATTTTTGAAGATGGTGTAGCAACCATATTCAATGACTTGGAAGATTCCTCTAAGCTGGTGTCACCGTATGTAGGGCACAAATCGTCCTTCATGATGTTGCTGAGGGAATGGTCTTTCAGATTGGCTGGACTGTCACACACAACCTCGCTGACGGATGACTGTGTCACCATGGTGTCCCTCCAAATTTTTAGAAGAAGCATTTCACAGTCGCACAGCCATTTATTGTCCTCCAACAAAAGCTCCACAATACGGCCAATATGCTCAAGAAAACCCACATAAGGCAGCGACTGCAGTTGGTTTCCGCGCAGGTCTAAATGCGTAAGTGGAACAAAGCGAAAAATGTTTCTTGGAAGGACTCTGATGGAGTTGTCATTTAGTATCAGAACTTTGAGGTGTATAAGTCTATTGAAAGTTCCATGTTCAATAACTTCAATAAAGTTTGTGTCTGCCTGGAGGTACTCCAAATTGACCAAACCCAGGAAAGTGTCCTCTTTTAACGCAACTAAAAAATTTTTGTTAATGTAGAGCTTCTTCAGGAAGCTGAGTGCATGAAAAACCCCAGGTTCCAGTTGCTGGATGCTGTTTCCACCAAGATTAAGTGAATGGGCATTCTTCAGACCTATTAATCCCTCCGGAAGCAACTCCACAAGGTCATTCTTATACAGATTAAGGTGGAATGGTCTGGCTGGTGGTAGCTTTATTTTAGCAATGCTGTCAATATTCTTTTCCTCACAGTTTACATACAGCATGTTGTCTTTTTCTGTGCAAGAGCACAGTCTGCCACAAGATCCTTCAGGTGATTCCTTGGAAGACAAAACATTTTGCGAAAGGGTGCCACTCAAAAAGCAGTAAATGAAGAAAAGGCAGCTCAGCATTTCTGTCGCATCTGTAAGAGAAAAGGAAGAAAAAATATGCTTGATTAATTAATTAAAAACGTGTGATTTCAGTTAAGGACTTTATAACTAACACAGATATAGTAACACAGTTTGATACATCAAAAAGACACTCAGAAGTGTAGCAATATTTTTCATTAATAAATGGCTGAGAGAACCTAAGGAAACAGGTATGCCATGCAAACCGACCATGTGTCATGCATCCAATGATTCATGGATCATTTTTAAGGAGTACTTGCGTATGACCTCATATTCTTTAGGCCATGTGACCTAAAAATACCTTAAGAAAAGCTGACAATAAAAAAAAATTCAGGAAAGCTGTTGTGAATTACAATTTTAAGCCACCCATCAAACTGCCTATTTTTATCTATAATTGATACAACCATATTCTTTAAAAAACCATTGTAGGTAATGAGGGAACGAGCCGCACATTTGCAGCGCTGCATGTAATGGCTGACTGGGCCACTCAGATTTTTAGGGCCCAGTATCTGTGCAGATAATCATCATCAATGTGGGAATAAATGCATTATTCAGGTGAATTTTAATGGATAAAGCACTCAGCACATTGATAGAATTTCCAGAATAGAAGTCAGGCACAATAACCAAGAAGAAGAAGACAAGAAGCATTATCTGAATGTTAGTGTTAGAAACCTCTGACAAAAAATGAAATTGAAAAAAATAAAAGTGGACAACAGGACAAAATAATTTGGTATTTACATAATATTGAAAAGAGCTAGAAATGCATAAAATTATACTCACAAGTAGTATAGAAGGCAGTTAAATAAAATCATGCAGTGTTTTTCAGGCTAGATGTGTAGCTGCCAGAGCAGAGCCTGTGTTTTCATTTATAAGCAGTAAAGGCTGCGGCTTCTTTTCACACATGTGAGCAACAAGTCCTCAACACGCATTTCCTGAGCAGCTCAGTAAGCATGAAAAAGAGAACTGGCAAAATATTTACTTCTAGTAAGGCAATAGTGCACATTTACAAAAAAACAAATACCTATCTACAGGGGGAAAAAACTATTTCTCTTCATGATTTACACACTTGCAAAGTAAACAGTGTGGCCATCGTTAATATTCCACTTTATACTATCTATCCATCCACCCATCCATCCATCCTCAACCACTTTTCCAGACTGATTCTAGAGCTAATCCCAAAAAGTACATGGGAAGAAAGGAGGCACCTGGATGAGATGTCAGACTGTTGAAGGCCACCCACCCACACACACGCATGCACGCACACACACACACACACACACACAGTCGTGTAATCATATCTTTATGGGGACCGCTCATTCATTTCTATGGGAAAAATGCTAATGCTAACTATGACAACCTTAACCCCTATCTAGCCCTAACCATAACCATAAGTAACCAAACAAAATACAAGAGATTTTGCATTTTTAGTTTTTGCAGTCACGGATTTTTATAAAATAGAGTTTTCCCATAAGGTAAAAAAAAAACAAAAAAAAAAAACAAAACAGGTATTCATCACGTTGTGGGGACATTTGGTATACCTGGACACACACTCACTACAGGTAAAATGTGACACAAATTTAGCAACAAAACAAACCAGCGAACACTGTGAAAACAGAAAAGGTGAGCTTTCGCTCCTTAGGCTGAAGGAGAAACACAGGCGATCCATGATGTCATTTATTACCTATATATTACAAGAGACTAAGAACAAGCATGCAGTTAAAGAGGGAGAGTCCAAGGCGCCGTGTCACTTTCGTATAATATGAAAGTATCCGAAGACATATGAATAAAAGGCTTCCACATACCAAACATGCCTGCACACGGCACATCTTATTAATGAATTACTCACGACTTCCAGAGTCATTTTAGCAGTTATCTTGGACATTGTGATGTGTGCATACAAAGTGCATTTTAATCATGGACTTAAGTTATAATATTCGGGCTGAAGACCACTTCCTTATTTTCAAAATTAAAAAAATTGACAGCCTTATTGTCTGTGTGTGCATACATGCATGCTCTTCAAAACTTCCAAATGTGGTTTGCAATCAAGGAAAATACTACTGCATAACATTTGAAATAGCCTAATAATAATGTAAAAAAACATAAAAGGGTGAAAGACCGAAAAAAGTCTAGTTTTTAAATTTTCCATCAAAGATAGTTCCAAGTGTTTGTACTTGAAAGCATTTTCGATTAACAGCCAATGACGCAATGTGACCACCACATTCCCTACACTCAAAGTGTGCCTGATTAAGGGAAGGTGTTGCTTTTGCCGGATTTTTGTGCGCTGTTGATTTATTGAAGCTTAATCGCACACGCTGAATAAACTTCAGGGATAAACTCTGAGAAAGCGTCGATCAGCTCGGTGATGATACTAAGAGCTGAAAACTTCTAACAAACTGTTTATGAATGTGTGTGAAATTTCCTTCTGCACAGAAATTGAAGGTAATAAGATATTCATTAAGTCGAAAGCCTTAGGTAAAACAGCTGCACGGTTAATCATTATTAAATAAAACTAGCGATTGCACCGTTTTGAAAAGCATCATTCTGGAATAAATATTTATCAAAAAGATTAATTGCTTTATTAAGTTTGTACCAGTATTGCTTTTATTTAAGTGCATTTATTCAAGCGGGACGTTTATGAAAACGAAGTTCAGTTTTTACAGTTAACACTATGCTCAGAGTTAAGACCTTTCTCCATAAACATCGATAATTCCATATTACTGAATATGAACAGCTTAACGAAGTATTTTTAAAGTATTCCCTAAGGAGCAAAAAAGGCTAAAAAATACTCACCTACAAGCAATTCTAGAAATGAGCTGCAGCCGAAACTTGAACAGATAAAAGTCAAGTATAAGTAAATGTTAATATGGTTATTTTCCCCACCTCTAATAACTCGTCGGTAATTATATGCATATAAATATTTCGTTTTAGTAATGCAAAACGAGTCGATGTCTTAAGAAACTAAGTAATTAGCATAAACGGTACTCTTCTGTTTATATTCTAAGCATATAAACAAATCTGTCTGTGTTTGTCGGTCTTAGTTTGTACGGCCTAACAGCTGCAGCCCAGTATCTGTTTCGTATAAGAGTCTTTACGGTACATGCAGCTCCGTTTCAAAGCGGGCGATTCCTGCCTCCCCGATACCTCGTAAAACAGAGGCATTCAAGCTGTGCGGGGCGCCCCCTTGGCGGGGCACGAAGGAATTGCGGGGGGNGGGGGGGGGGGGGGGGGGGGTCGAGCGCAGGTGAGGGTGGCGGACCTATGCAGAAATTAAAACTTTTAGAAATATTAAAAATAGGGAGACTTGCAATGTCAGAAGTTTCCCTGGACTTTAGTAATCTCTGTGTTGGCCTATCCTTCCCGTTGAGCTTCAAGTTTATTTAAATAAAGATTTCGGGGTCAGAACAAACATATCAGCCCTAGGGGCGCCCTGTCAGACACGTTTGAATAGCACTGTCGTATTTCATTGTAGGGGGATCTCTCTCCTCCTCAGTAATGCCTCTTCAGTGGAGTTCCGTCATTCAGAAGTCTGGTCCTATTTCCTTCTGCCGAATGTCATAGCCCAGGGGCAGGGGGTCATATCCTCAAAAGGTGAGTGTGCGTGCGGGTTTTTGGGGTAACCTTTAGGTCAGCTGTTCAAACCCAGGTGTGAGGGCTCTTCAGCCAATCAGTCCACTAATCAGCAATTTAATTAGGGAGTTGCAGTGAAAGCCTGCATACCTAACAGCCCTTTCTGGATAAGATTGCCCACCCCTGATAGAATTAAACTTTCAACCACAAAGTAATATAAAAAGATTTAAAACAGAAATATAATTTGACGGCTTGTAAACATACTGCTGTATTTGGTACCCATGAGCTTCAGCAGTGCCAACATAATACCCCGAATAACTGCAGGAGATATGAAGTGACGGCATCATAGCCAAAATGAACCTTCAATTTATATTGGACCCTTCTTTGAAAAGAAAAGATTCAAGTTCCTTGAGAGATGAAGGTGGAAATTTCCTCTGCAGGCTGTGCTCCAGAATCTACCCATAAACTTTTGGTGATGATTAGATCAGGCGATTGGGGAGCCCATGGAAGGTGTTTGACTTTATTATGGTGTTCCTGGAACTGCACTTGATTGTATATTATACAGTGTGTATGGCGGGGCATTGTTATTTTGGAATATGGAAACAATGAGGAAAAAGTGTTTGCACAATAAGGCAGACCAGGTCCTACAAAATGGCCTCGCGTTCCCTGGCTATCATGTGCCTGAAGAGTAATATTTGTGCCTTAAGCTTCCCAGCCCACCATACCGCGAGGGCTGAAGGCATCCTTTAGCTCTCAGAACGTAAATCTTTCAGGATTTAAGCAAAAGATGAATCATATCAGATGACTATTTTCATCTCTAAGAGGGCCAAGTTTTGCGCTGCTTGCACCAGCTCACGCATCTTTTCATTACTTTTACTACTTTAGGAGCAGCTAGTTTAGTTAGACGCATTTTTTATGTAAGAAGGGTCAGACAGTCCCTGGGACCACTGGAACCTGGGCTTTGAGCTGTGTGGAATGAGGGTACTGTGCTCCTCATTCGGTTAGGGCACTATGCCTGTGATTGGAAGGCACCGGATTCACATCCTAGGGTCTGAAGAGTGATTTTATAATTGGGCCAATGACCAAGGCTAGTATGTCCTTTGAGAGATAAAGATGGAAATCTATTTTGTGGGCTTCACTCCAGAATTCCCCATAAACTTTCAGTGCTGATTAGGGCAAAGGGCCTCACTCAGGTCCTAACGGCATAACAATGGCTGACCCTGGGATTTGAAATGAATGCAGTGTGCGGCTCAGTGGGTTAGATCAGTGGTTCCCAAAGTGGGGGTTGCAAAGCCCCCAAGGGGCCAGGACACTGGTGGGGGGGGGGACGTAAGATGATTCCCAGAATATGTGGGAGAGAAAAAAAATAAAAAATATATATATATATATATATTTGGTAGGGCCTACTTAAATATATTTAATAATAGCTGACCATTCCATATGTGGCACTGCATTTTGCTGAATGCCTCAGGCTTTTTACACACACACACACACACACACACACACACATATATATACTGGAGACACTATGTGTTAGCATTTATTTAGCCACTATTTTGTATATTTTTTGAGCTATGATACCATCTGAAAATAGGAGTGCACATATTGTAAAGTTACTTTAGTGCTGCACAGTGCACAGTGCTAAGCGGTGTAATCGTGCCTCAGTCAATGGTGCTCAGGAAGTAAGCTGTCACAGCCAAGATGCTAAGTGGGCGTCTCCTTGGCCTAGTCCAGCCACTTGGGTCCTCAGCAATGAGGATCCTGTGAGCTGCCGGGGAATCACTCTAGTTCAATAAATGTTATGAGAATTGGGACCTGCAGGTTAAGCAGGTTAAAGTTTTAGCTCTCAAGGTATGTTTTTAAGGGTTTCATATCCAAAAACTAAAGTGAAGCTAAATTCATATAATTATAGCTATATTGGTTATTGTTAGCTTCTGCTAAATTTTTTAGTGGTTTATCAGTTTAGCTGTATCAAATTAAACTTTAGAGTTAGCGGATTAGCAGTTGTCAAAGCTGAAATATATCGTTTTTCTATACACTATAGCGTTATATATTTTCTATATAATTACTGTATATGAATAGCTCACATGTGTTTTGGATTCTAACATTTGTTTGTAAATGTTTGATACATGTTCAAAAGTTTTGTTTTATCACCTGTTCGGCTTTCTGAAGACTGCAATATTGCATTTGGCCGCGTAGAGGTGCGTGAATTAATACAGCCCTCCAAAGCAGGTAGTGAAAAATGCACTTAAGGCAGTGGCAGAACTCGCTTAAGGGTTATTTACATGTGTTACATGCATATTTTGGAGTTTCTCTGCCCAAAATGTGTGCACTTAAACCCCACACTTAAGCCGATGGGAGATTACACTTAGGTCAAAAAAGTGTGCAGCTGCGCATCATTGTTTTATGTATATAAACATACATATGCATGACTACAACCCTGCATTTGATACAAATAAAAACAATCACATTTAATATAAAAATACAGAAAGTTTACAATTAGTCAGATTTTTGCAGAAACAGAGATATGATGGACCATTTGGACAAAATATAAGGCAATTAAAAAAAATAGCAATTGGATTTTAGGAGGGCTGTTTGGAGGGCATTTCTCAATATCTCATTGTTGTGACTTCGGACATAATATGAGGAGACAACACAGCTAGTCATTCTGAGATGACTGAGGTGTCTATAAATAAAGAGCTTATGTAGGTCAGGTGCAATTTCCTCTCTGAGATTCACAGATTTGACCTTTAAACAAGGCAAATAGTTTTTGGAGAAGAAATGTATCATATTAAGGGGGTCTCCTGGGTGGGCCATTGCAAGTTGAATATGGTTATAAATTCCACTAAAAACAAAAAAAGCCAGACTGTTTCAAATGTGATATAGAGTCATTTGATTTTTAAAAAAGTATGCATAATTCAAGTACATGTTCATAGTTGTCTCATTGTGGTAAAAGATAATGTAATTTACAATCAGAACTTCTTGTCAAAGGCAGCGTTAAAAGGAAAGTTCATGAAATTTAGCTATTTTGTAGATTTCATTGAAAATATACACTCACCTAAAGGATTATTAGGAACACATGTTCAATTTCTCATTAATACAATTATCTAATCAACCAATCACATGGCAGTTGCTTCAATGCATTTAGGGGTGTGGTCCTGGTCAAGACAATCTCCTGAACTCCAAACTTTAGGCCCCTTAGTGCCAATTGGGCATCGTTTAAATGCCACGGCCTACCTGAGCATTGTTTCTG